CTAGTTTTGTATATTGAAAACATAGCTTCTCCTGTCGTTTACTTGACGTAAAATTTTGTGCGGCATATTTCACTTTTCCCTAGCCGCCCTTATTACTGAAGCGATCGATCGAGAAACACTACTTCCTAGGAAATCCACCGAAAAAGGGTCAAAATCCCCTTTTCCTTCAATCTTGCGATCTATCCCCTATTAATAGCTGAGAAACTTCATCTCTATGTTTTAATTCCAACTCTGAATGATTCCAACTTTCAAAATGGCGATGTCTAATTTTTCGCTGGTTAGTGTCTTTTTCGCCACCAATCCCAAACGACTGTTAATTTATATCAAAAACAAAGAAACCAATATTTTCCATGATATCCTTACCTGCTGAGCTAAGAATGTAATACTATGTCTCTCTTAAGGCGGATGTAATTTGACCCATCAGATTTCGAGGCGCAACTGACGATCAGAGGCAATTAAAAAAAAACTACTGCCTAAAAATGACATATTTCGTTGACTCCAATCATCCAGATAAATTCTTTCACTTTAATTTGTTTGAGAAGACACTTCAGAACCTTGGCATTGCTTAATGCATTAAAAATGCTGATTTGTAAGAATCGTAGGTTTGGAAGCTGTAGGCAACCGTTAGCAAATCACAGCACTTTCAGAAAAAAATCTAGCATTATGGGAATGCATTATACATTTAGGTCGCCATTTGTCCCTCGAGTAAATAGAGATCATCCTCCTTAGTAGAAAGACAAATTTTCATTTTAATTAAACAGCTCATTTGGTCCAGCTGCTGCAAAGGTTTAGAAGCCCACTTTAATCACAACATGTGGAAAAATTGAAGCGAGACAGGTGAAGCGATTCTACACGGTAAGACGATTTAGAAAGAAACCAGCCACCCTTCTTATAATGCAAGTGCATTCCGTTTATACATGAGATCACGGTATTACCAACAATCATCAATCTGGCCCTCGAGTGAAGCGCAAAACAAATTCTGTCCAGTCCTTTTCTATTCCACCCTCTTATTCCAATTCGTCATCCCATTTAATACCGCCGTCGTCGGCGTCGCGATACCCCAAGAGCGGAGGAGATAAAATGTCCCCCATTCTCGACGCGACCCTCTTCCATTATATTTTGATTTATGATCGAAACGAGAATGCCCGAAGGTTTGATCTGCACGTGGAGCATTATGCCAGCATCCCTTCGAAAAGCGATCACACCCTCCTTTAGCATACAACGCGTTGCCTAGGCAACAGACGCATCTGTGTGCTTCGCGTGATGAATACGTCTTGCTCCTTGTAGTACACGCGTGCCGAATGGGGCTTTTAATGATTAATTTTTTTAAAAGGTCCCGTTAACGTCTGCTCCTTTTTGAGGTGTTATTCGATCTTTGCGCGTTGATCCGAATTCCAATTGTTCTGGAAAGGGTTTCGGAAATCGATGCGATGCTTACGTTGCATTTGCACTGTGGTTTTTATTGTCCGCAAAGTTTCATTGCACAAAAACTTTATGGCAAAGTTTCACGATCGTAAATTAGTACAAGTTATAGATGTATTGGGCCCATAAATTGAGCCCTCGCCGCGGGGAAATGCACTTCTACAGAAAAAGGACTCTTTTTTATGGAAAATGTTGATCTAACGCAGGTAGGAAGCCCTTCATTATTCGCCATTTGAGCACCCAATTCCGTTTGCGCGGGGTCACTTTACATATTTTGGATTAACGTCCTTTAAACGCGTTTGCTCCTAACGGATGTGTAATATTTGATGTTGGGACATCATTTTTACGCCTCTTAAATTCCCGGGGTGAATAATATTACCTACCCTGTAAAAGGAAAAGCTTTTAAGATATGCAGATAATACGTTCCGGTTACCTATACCTTGCATCAGATCTGAAGGGTAAGAATACAACGAGCATAATTATTTAAATGTGCTCCCTCCGTTGAAGGTGCGCTATGCCTACTGACTCTCCACCCCCAAACCCACACACAAAATCTCACAGTTTTTTTACATTATTTTGTACCTAATCGATCCCAAGTAAAAAAAAACTTGTCAAATTGTGGTATGTAAAGAAAACCTGTTTAACTGGAAAATCCATCTTTGCCTACAAGAGGGTGAAAAAATTGCGGTTTAAACTTATACAAATAATGTGTCCTTCTCAGAGGGTTAGCGATTTATTATGCCCAAGCAACACATTATAAATAGAGGAAATGTTAATTAGAGGTCCCCTTTCTAGTATACGCTAAGACTAAGACACAAGAGCTTCGGTGTGTAAAATCACTTTTCCCCGTTATATACGTAACCAACTTCGTAAAAATAATGAGTCCCTACATTCGCCATCTTATTAGTATTTTCTAATAGCCATGACTTTGTCTTAAAAAGGGAAGGAAGGGCCATTCAACGATGCCCTTTCAAATCCGGAGTGGTTTAGGCAAACTTTAAAAAACAAACGTTACATTATTTACTGATACGTACAAATGACAATGACCCACTGAAATATATTTAAAAAAAGGCAGGGTATAACCTTCCTTTTTTCCAAAAATCGACTGCACCAAAACTTCTCGGGAAAACACCGTTTCTTATTAAGTTTGGTGCGTAGAATCCAAAACAATTAATACTTTTTTTCGATCAGACCTCTCAATCAAAAGTTATAGACTAGAAACCAATTTCGAAAGAAAATTCAAAGGGCTGTAACTTTTGAACTAGTAGCCTGATCTTGGAACTGTTTGAAATTATGGATTTTACATGCCACATTCTATAAGAAAAATTTTTTCCGGGTCGATCTGAGACAATTTTTTTTTTTCGGGGAAAAAAAAAGGCAGTGTATAACCTTCCTTTTTTCAAAAAATCGACTGCTCCAAAATTTCCCAGGAAAACACTTTTTCTTATTAATTTTGGTACGTAGAATCCAAAACAATTCGTACTTTTTCGATCAGACCTCTCAATCAAAAGTTATAGACTAGAAACCAATATCGAAAGAAAATTCAAAGGGCTGAAACTTTTGAGCTAGTAGCACAATCCTAGAACTGTTTGAAATTATGGATTCTACAGGCCACGTTCTATAAGAAGAATTTTTTTCCGAGTCGATCTGAGACAATTTTTTTTGGGGGGCAAAAAAAAGGCAGTGTATAACCTTCCTTTTATCCAAAAATTGACTGCACCAAAATTTCTCGGGAAAACACTTTTTCTTATTAATTTTGGTGCGTAGAATCCAAAACAATTCGTACTTTTTCGATCAGACTTCTCAATCAAAAGTTATAGACTAGAAACCAATTTCGAAAGAAAATTCAAAGGGCTGTAACTTTTGAACTAGTAGCCCAATCTTGGAACTGTTTGAAATTATGGATTCTACAGGCCACGTTCTATAAGAAATTTTTTTTCCGGGTCGATCTGAGAAAATTTTTTTTCGGGGCAAAAAAAAGGCAGTGTATAACCTTCCTTTTTTCCAAAAATCGACTGCACCAAAATTTCTCGGGAAAACACTTTTTCTTATTAATTTTGGTGCGTAGAATCCAAAACAATTCGTACTTTTTCGATCAGACTTCTCAATCAAAGTTTATAGACTAGAAACCATTTTCGAAAGAAAATTCAAAGGGCTGTAACTTTTGAACTAGTGGCCCAATCTTGTAACTGTTTAAAATTATGGATTCTACAGGCCACGTTCTATAAGAAAAATTTTTTTCCTGGTGGATCCGAGACAATTTATTTTCGGGGCAAAAAAAGGCAGTGTATAACCTTCCTTTTTTCCAAAAATCGACTGCACCAAAATTTCTCGGAAAAACACTTTTTCTATTAATCTGGTGCGTAGAATCCAAATCAATTCGTACTTTTTCGATCAGACTTCTCAATCAAAACTGATAGACTAGAAACCAATATAGGAAAAAAATTCAAAGGGCTGTAACTTTTGAACTAGTAGCCCAATCTTGGAACTGTTTGAAATTATGGATTCTACAGGCCACATTCTATAAGAAAATTTTTTTCCGGGTCGATCTGAGACAATTTTTTTTCGGGGCAAAAAAAAGGCAGTGTATAACCTTCCTTTTTTCCAAAAATCGACTGCACCAAAATTTCTCGGGAAAACACTTTTTCTTATTAATTTTGGTGCGTAGAATCCAAATCAATTCGTACTTTTTCGATCAGACTTCTCAATCAAAAGTTATAGACTAGAAACCAATATAGAAAAAAAATTCAAAGGGCTGTAACTTTTGAACTAGTAGCCCAATCTTGGAACTGTTTGAAATGATGGATTCTACAGGCCACGTTCTATAAGAAAAATTTTTTTCCGGGTCGATCTGAGAAAATTTTTTTTCGGAGCAAAAAAAAGGCAGTGTATAACCTTCCTTTTTCCCAAAAATCGACTGCACCAAAATTTTTCGGGAAAACACTTTTTCTTATTAATTTTGGTGCGTAGAATACAAAACAATTCGTACTTTTTCAATCAGACTTCTCAATCAAAAGTTATACACTAGAAACCAATTTCGAAAGAAAATTCAAAGGGCTGTAACTTTTGAACTAGTAGTCCAATCTTGGAACTGTTTGAAATTATTGTTTAAAAACAGAGACCCGAACTATGCGTCAAGGAACAACCAGCTCTCCGCCTGCAGAACCAGTTCGCCTTACCAGCTCGACCTCGCGCCACACTTCGCCAGTCAGAGACGCGCTCACAGCGTGCACTTCGCCTACTACTTTGTAGGTATATATTGTAAATATATTAAATAAAACTGACACTAATAGTAATATTATAATGTACAAATACAACAAATATATTATACACATGAACAGTGGTACCACCATATACACATCTTAGAGGACTGCAACGACAGGCAGTGTTGGGGTCGTTGAGTCTGCACGACCAGTCTCGGCCCCTTACTTCGAATAAAGTAAACTTGCCCAATCTGACGTACCTTTTGGGCCAGAGTCGCCTCTTATTCAGTTTCGGTCCTTTGTCACAGCTCGGCGTCCATCGACCGCGCAGTGTCCCAATTAGGGGTTGATGGGTGGAGTACCAAGGTTGGAATGACAAATTATTTACATTTTATTAAAAAAACGATTATTTTCTTTCCTACAACGATAAAGTTTTCCAGTTGCCTTGCAATACTCACAGGTCGAGAGCAACGAAGACAAATTCACCACAAAAAAATTAGAATAAGATTTAATTTAGTTTTCTACCGTAGATAGTATACTCAGTTACACAAAAGCTAAATAAAACCTCCATTACTTGTTACATTAGCTGAATTTAACATTGGCTTAATAGGAGATTCGATCACAGATTGTACTCGTTCACCAAACATGGATTGATATTTGCGTTCTGATGTTTCAGTATTCCCATTGCGCAATTCTCAAATATGGAAAAGTCTGCAATAGAAAAATTTGATTGGCACTTGTCTCACAGTAATCTCGCATTTGATTCACTGTATTTTTCGAATTTGGTTAAATTTTGATTTCCAAGATTTATATTATAGGTAGACTATTATTTGACACTAAGTATTACCTTTTACAGGTATAAAACGGCACTTTGGTACCGGTTCCGCCTTTTCTGTACGTTTGCTTGTACCAGCTGGAACGCTGCGAAGACTATCGAGACATACGTCGTCGCTCAACTCGTCAAAGTCCCCTACACTTTCCGCTGTGTGCGTTTTAGAATTGACCAATATTCGAATCACCTCCACAAACTCGGCCTCCTTCGCCGACGCTTCGCACAGTTCCAAAAGGCTCTCTATAAATAGAAGGGTGTACACGTTGGGGTTGTCTTCGGCGATTTCCTTCAGATGTCGCACCGTAGAAAAGATAGCCTCGATTTCTGAGTGATACACGAACGGCGATAACGTCCGCATGTTCGGGTACTTTTGGAATACCGATTTTTTTATGTTATCCTTCACGTGCGCCTGCAAAACCAAAACGTCGGACTTCAAATCGGATAGGTGACGTTATTAAGCCCCCCCCCCCTCCATGTACAATCGTGAAATTAATAAAAACGAGTAGAGGGTACCTTAAGCTTTTCAACAACAAAATTTGCGAGAGAAACGCTAAATTTTGCACAATCTTAATTAAAAGTTAACTTCAGTTCGTCGAAATCTGAGGTTATGTTACTTATATTTCGTCATTCTTAATTTGGCGAATCTACTAAATTGAAATATACTGGGTTTAACGTGTATATTAACAGTTAGTGTAATAAAGTAGGTAGTATAATATAATGGTATATTAGGTTTAGTTCGTCTTGTACACAAAATACGCGGAACTTCCATGTAACATGTGGATACACTTTAAAACCACTTTTGGAAGCACATGCAGTCTGAACTTGAATGCCTTCGGGAAAAAATGTCGTACAGAGGGTTACACTTTGCATCTGGCAAGGATCGTCTTTTCCATATCGGCCACCGAGAGAGGAAACCTTACCAGGAGGAGGGGGCATCTATCTTCCATAGACCGCCTCTTTGTTAGCAACCGCCGATTATCTTTGAACCCCTTTTCTATATCAGCCCGTGACTAGCATCTATCGCCTCATCACTCGAGAGGGGAAGAAACATCTTAATGTACCCGTGAATTATGTAAAACATGTAGATGACTACTTAATGCTCCAAAGATGGTAAAATCAGAATCACATGTATAGGTATACATCATTTTCTAACGTTTATTAAACCGTGGAAACATAACATAACATAACCTCTATAATCATGAAATATGCAGTAACATAACCTCGCATTTTCACGAAATTATGTGAACTTTGTATTGAGATTGTGAAAAATATGGCTTCTATGGCAAATTTGTTGTTGAAAATGCTTAATTAATGCCCCCCCTACCCATTTTTGTATATTTCATGATTGTACCTGGGGGACTAAATGACAGCATGTAACCTTAAAATCAAATGAGGCCTACTTGTAGGGGGAAAGGGAGACTCTCGAATTTGTAACACCTTGTACAGAAATGTACACCTACTATTTCAGTAAAACACTTGGTACATTTTTATTTGCTTCACACTAGTCAATTCACCTTTCATTCAAGAGATCGACGAATACACAGGGTGTTCCAGCAAACATTTCAGGATAAGGGGGGGGGGGGCAATCTTACCTGTTTAATCAGCTTAGTTAGCAGCAACCTTTCCAGCAAGTACGCGATCCAAAGACCGCATATCCTTCTCATTCCCGCTTGTGCTATTTCGTTATTGACAACGCGAAGCAACCGCTCCAGTAGCAGTTGCAAGCATCCGACATCTAAAACAAAATCGAGCAAATCGTCCCAAATGTTCAGAACATCTTTCGGCAACCTATCAGCCGATTCCACATCAAAATACGCCCTATCCCTTGTATAAACGCACAACAGCCCCCCATCTAAAATGATCGTTTCTACAATCAACTCCTTGAGCCAGCTCTGCCTCACTTCTCCGACTTCGTCGGTGAGTCGGCGAAGCAAGCGACTCAGAACTGTCCTGATCGAGTCCATATTGTCCCAACGATAGTCGCTAATGAGCAGCTTCAATTTGGACTCGTAACATTCGATTTCGCGGGCCGTTTTTACGCAACTCTTCAGATACCGCAACGAGACAATTCGGCAGTAGGTCTTCAACGCGGACGCGACTTCATCCTTCGATACCGATTTAAGCGGGCTGTAACTTTCTAACATCGTCTTCTGCCGTTCCCAGTAGTTGTCGCGAATCCAGTCGTGGCAAAAGTCGAGAGCGCAAATGAGCAGCTCCAAGGACGGTACACTACAGCTGTGAGCGATGTCGTGTCTCATATTAACGATCCATTCGGGGAAATTGTGCGACTTAGCTTTTTGCGTAAAAGTGCCTTGCTTATCCTCTTGTGAACAGCACAAGTTCAGAAATCTGTTAGTAGAATGATGTTAGGGAAAGAATTACACAAACCGCTCACCTCATAATCGATGCAGAATACAAGAGGCGGGTGCGGTCTTCAGACGAGCTGTCTTTAAATAGGTACGCGTCCACAATAATAAGCGTACATTCAACGGCGCTTGGTAGTTTAGGGGTACGTTGCTTCCAAATTTTCAAAAGCGATTGTGCGCCCCTAAGGTCTTTGTGTTCGTACAACAAATCGTAGACATGGTCCCATTCTTCCCTAATTATTTTGGATAAGTACGATTGAGCAATTAATGTATACGTTACCTATTGAACCATGGTACAAGCATTAATCCAACGTATTGTTGAGATAGAGCCATGTTTTTGTTGGTCGTTTAACATATGATGAAAGTGTGGTTATGTCATTTTTAAAGCCCAGAAGTGTGGCTACAGTACCGGCAAAGGGATGGATGCGCTAGCCATTGATTATACACAGTGAACATTAAGTACCTAATAGGGAAGGTCTCTAAGCACTTTAAGAGCCATCCATGCTATATTGCCATTACGGGTGTTTCACTATGTACAAGTTTTTTTAATTGTTTCAAGGGTCTTAAGAAGCCTTTAAAGGGTAAGGGTAAGAGTAGCCAAAAGCCTGAAAGAATTTCTAAAAGCTGTTGAGTATCCTAATTTAAAGCCTTTAATTTTTTTATTGATCCTTTCAGGGCATTTAAGAATTTTTTAATGAATTGTTGAGGATCTTTGGCATGCTATAATAGTATATTAAGTAACAAGGGATTTAATCCCTAGGGATTAAAATTATGTATTAATGCACAAAAATTAGGGATTAAATTCAATAAAAACGTGTCGCCATTGGAAAAAAAATATTATGTTTCAAAAGAAGCATTTTCAGCTATTAGTTTATTTGGAAAACATGTTTGTTATCTTCCCTTATAAAACATTATGTTGTTACATCCGGTATGAATCTTTCGAGGGTTCGATAGCAGTAAATTCTAAAAAGAAGCTACTCTTGTCGATATGGTAGCTGAACTGTGGTGCAGTGGCGTACGTAGAAATTTATTCTGGGGGGGGGGGGGATTAAACAAGTACGTGGCATACACAGTCACCCAGTGCGTACTAGAAGGGGGAGGGGGGTAAGAAATAGAAATTGGGTTGCAGGTTGCTGATGCTGGTAGTCATTTATCTATTTATTATTGTACAGGCGAAAAAGATTAGATTAGAACGGTATTTTATTTCTTACTGCTGACAGGCCCCTTTATTGCTTTTGCTTTAATTAGCCAACGAAAGCTTTGAATAATATGTATATTTATGGGCAAAAAACCAATTTCGACAAAAAATTCAAAGGGCTGTAATTTTTGAACTAGTAGCCCAATCTTGGAACTGTTTGAAATTATGGATACTACAGGCCACATTCTATAAGAAAATATTTTTTTCCGGTCGATCTGAGACAATTTTTTTTTCGGGGCAAAAAAAAGGCAGTGTATAACCTTTCTTTTTTACAAAAAATCGACTGCACCAAAATTTCTCGGGAAAAAACTTTTTCTGATTAATTTGGATGCGTAGAATCCAAAACGATTCGTACTTGTTCGATTAGACGTCTCAATCCAAAGTTATGGGCAAAAAAATTCCTGTTTTTAAAATTTAAAATTCTTATTTTCGCCATTTCGTGAAAGGCAGGACGCAGGTACCTCACCTCAGTAGCAGTACTAAGTACCTGATACCTATTTGTTATTTTGGGCATCAATGCCATCAATGTAGCGAATTGCCGATCGATGCCGAATAGCCAAATCGTTGACTGCCAACACTGATCACTCATTGAATAGTGAATACTGAATACTACACAATATTTAGATTTTAGTGACTTTAGACTTTAACCAAAACCAAAATTGCTCTCTATATATACGTATATATTATTGACTTTATTTTAAAGTGGGCGGAGCGGATAGCGGAGTATTACCTAAATACCTAATAGCTATGATGATAACTCAATTATTCGGGGGGGGGGGGGGCATAGGGGACATATACGCCACTACTGTGGTGCTAAGGGTCCCTGGTTCGAATCCGGGTTCGGGCATGGATATTTGTAAATGTATAATGGGTTGAGTTGGTAGAGTAGCTTTGTCTGAAACCCCTCCCACTCAAAAATAAAGGCAAAATAAAATAAAATAATTATTTAAACCTGATAAGCAGGGGTTGGAACCGGAACGTTAAAGAAGCGATACCGGAACTGGAATCGATTGCGTTTAAACCCCCTCGCTTATAACCGGAACTGTTATTCCAGAAGTTTTGATCACGTGAACTTTTATATTGCTGCTTATAAAATTGGGTTCTAAACTTTTGGGGGTTAAAAACTGTTTGTTGAAGTTCACCAGCATGGCCTCTTTCGAATCCGGTCCTGTTTCATTACGGTTTGTTATGTTGTGGCAGGCGACACCGACACAATACGCGATAGCAGAGACACTACTTGTAGGTGACAGGTAGACAAATGGCAACAATGTTTTGATTTTCCAAACTGAAATTGTGAAAATTCCAACGAAAATCGCACAAAATCATGCTAAAAGCCAAGGGTCGTTTCGGCCCCTTAGTCGGGTCCATCGACGAAGGCACTTCCAGTACACGATTTCTCGTGAGCGAAACGCAACCAAAATTAGGTTATGCTTACAGGTACATATTTTGCAGGTATTCGCCGCGAACACCGCCGAAGTCCTAACTTATCACCAAATCCCCGTACCGCACATCACGCCGCAGGAGGGATGGGTCGAGCAGAATCCCGAACTGATATTACATTCCGTAATCGAGACGATTAACGTCACCTGTGATAATCTGAGGAAGCTCGACATCGATCCCCTTGATATTGTGGCGGTCGGCATAACAAACCAGAGGGAGACTACGGTCGTGTGGGACTCGCGAACCGGAAAACCTCTGTACAACGCTTTGGGTACTTAAATTAGTTTAGATCATGCATCAGGTGCAAAAATTAGTCTTAAAAACTCTCATAAACGCTCTTAAAGGTTTGTCAGATGCCCTAAGGGGCAGTCAAATGTGGTGGAGACCATTGAAAGGTCTTTAAGAGAAAACATTTAAGTATTTCAGACCCAAAACGACTCAGTCTCAAAAGACACAAGAGGTTTGTCAAGAAACTTAAAACCTTTCGAAGAAGACTAAAACGCCCTTAAACGGATCATTTTTGTAGACTGAAATACACAGGGCGAATTAGTTTCCCCCCAAGTGTACTGAAAGTCTCTTAAGCCGAACCAGAACCTAAAAATAACAGCAGTTAGACAGTTAGAGATGTGGCTCTTGTATAACGATTAATGTACAGGGTGTCAAATTTTCAACACTTATAGGATGTGTCTGTAATTGTATCAAAAAAGTAAGAGGGCGTCATGTACCCACTCTTTTTGGGTGAAAATGGTAAACTCAAGATTCGAAAATATTCAAAAACATTTTTGAAATCTATTTTGTTTTAAATTTGGTTTGTTTTTGAAAAGATACACTCCCATTTAAAACAATGAGGTTAGGTATGATAATTTTGGAACCTACATTTTCAAATTTTGATTTTCTTATTCTTAGTTTGGCCCAAAAAGGGCACGTCGCTTATATTGAAGCAGATGCCTCATGAAAGTGCCGAAAATGGGACACTTTATACATCATTCACTTTATATTGCTGTGTAACTCACCTGGTTGCCCATTGCGAGGCCCAGTGTAACCCACATAGAATTCCCAAAAGTTGAGATGTCCCGCAGAATTTCAAGGCGACTACGTATCAAAGAGAGAGAAATTTTACACAAAGGAACACCTGCAAATTATATATATTTTTTATCAAATTAAATAAAAGCAGTAATTTACTGTGTTGTTTTTGTGGTTATTGTGATAAGACACTGACGACGACGCAACAATTATGTTCTCTCTCTTTTTTTTAGTCTGGTTGGATATGAGGACGAGCGTGACTGTCGATAAAATACTATCAAATGGCAAGCGTAACAAAAATTTCTTGAAATCGTTGTGTGGGCTTCCTGTAAGCACCTACTTTAGTGCGGTGAAGTTGAGGTGGCTAATTGACAACGTTCCAAAGGTCAGGGATGCTATCAGTGATGGTAGATGCCTTTTCGGAACGATCGACACTTGGCTCATTTGGGTAACTCGTCGATCTTTTTCGACCGACTGACTAGATAATTCTTGCAGAATCTGACGGGCGGCGTTAACGGCGGCTTACACATAACCGACGTAACGAACGCCTCACGTACCATGCTGATGAATATAAACACGTTGAAGTGGGACCCTCACCTGTGCAAGGTATTCGACGTACCGCTCGCCGTCTTGCCGGAAATTAGGAGTTCGTCGGAAATTTACGGGTATTTGAGCGAGTCTGCGCTGTGCGGCGTACCAATTTCGGGCGTAAGATGTTCGTATTTTTTTGCGTGCAGGTTTATTACAAGTTGAGGCAGTGTTTAGGTGATCAGCAGGCCGCGCTCGTGGGACAGATGTGCTTTCAGCAGGGTCAGGCGAAAAGCACGTACGGAACTGGATGTTTTCTCCTCTACAATACCAGCACCGCGGTAAGTTTCGAGGTTTCTCCTCAGAAAGTCACCGAGGCAGTTTTAGATCGTCCAGTCGAACCATGGTTTATTGACAACGGTTGCCTATCAGTTAGGGCGAAATAGTCCTGTTTTCTATGCGTTGGAAGGATCTGTGGCAGTAGCCGGTATGTCACCTTTTTCAGGTTGTTAGTGTTAGCTGGACGGTTTTAAAATAACCGTTTAATTCGCGATTCAGATTAACACTAGAGGCGCTGATGTAATTTACAAATGGCGTATATTGGTGGGAGCTGTTTGTAAACAATACCAATAATGTGAAAGTGAATTGAATTTGTCTTAAATATACAACCCCTTAATCCTATCCTACCTAAAAGGCCTGTTTCTTAAGAATTAAATTCAATTCAATTTCTAGCGCACTCGTGCCGACAATCCCTTACGTCGATTATGCTCTAAAACGGCCTTACTATTCGTGGAATAATTACACTGACCACAATTTAAACAATAGGTATTCTTCGACGTGTCGTGCTTTAATAAATGGCGATTTAAATGTTTCTTACTATTTGTAGCAAACCTAATCGCACACACATCCTTCAATGTGAATATGCCGCTTTAAGTTTTGCTTAGTAGCGCAATAATTACACTATTCATTAATTAAATGCTGGGGAAGGTTGTGTGCGTTAATAGGTGACACTTTAAGCGAACGCTTAAGTGTAGCATAATTACACTGATAGCAGTGACAAATTTATTCCAACTGTTCACAATGAAAAACTATAATATTGATTACTTTTCGTCATGAAATAAACAAAATGGCGGCCTTTTCCTTTTCGTTCTCTGCTGCTTATGAGGGTTCTGGCCATTCTAAGTTTCTGGCAAGTGACTTCTATGGTGAATCTAGAACACTGTCGCAGCCATTTTTTTATGTTAAAGAAAGTGGGTAATAAGCCGCGGGAGGTTGCCGAAGAACATTATGCGTCAAGCCGCGAGTGAAATAGTTTTGAGGCACGACAAGACAAAAATTACGAAATAAATTGTTTATGAGCTTAAACGTAAACTAAAAAATGAGCACAGTGACCTTGGATGTCCTTGAAAATGTAATCTGACCGCAAAAATGGTTCATTATCCTTGGATGATCTTGAGAATGTAATTAGATTGACCATTGATAGATTAGCCATTGACATTGGCTGACTGAAAGTATACTTTGACATAGTTCCTGGATGCGGACCTGTATTTTTGTGTGAACAGTTGGTGGCAACAGTAAATCGCGAGATAAGGCGAAAGAAATGAGATTTACGTGACTGGTTCAGTAGAATCAGATCCTTTTCGTTCTCTGCTGCTTATGAGGGTTCTGGCCATTCGAAGTTTCTGGCAAGTGAGTCTTCTATGGTGAATTTAGAACACTTTCGCAGCCATTTTTTTTATGTTAAAGAAAGTGAGTAATAAGCCGCGGGAGGTTGTCGGAGGACATTATGCGTCAAGCCGCGAGTGCAATAGTTTCGAGGCACGACAAGACAAAAATTACGAAATAAAATGTTTATGACCTTAAACGTAAACTAAAAATGGGGACAGTGACCTTGGATGTCCTTGAAAATGTAATCTGACCGCAAAAATGGGTTCATTATCCTTGGATGACCTTGATAATGTAATTAGACAACACATAAAAAATGAGGCCATTGACATTGGCTGACTGAAAGTATACTTGGACACAGAAAAAGTGGGTTTGATGACCTTGGTATAATTAGACACCACAAAAGAGCGGGCTTTGCCTTTATACGACCTTGAAACTGTGATCGGACACCACAAAAATGGGTCCATTGTCTTAGGATGACCCGGAAAATTTAATCCGACACCACATAACAATGAAGTCATTAACCGTGGATGTCCTTGAAAACGAATTTTGAGATTGAGGTCATTGACCTTTGATGACATTGAAAATGTAATTTGATATCACAATTCAGGTCATTTACTTTCGATGACCTCCAACATGTAATATAGCCAAAGTCAGTCACGTGGCATGTCATCTTATATTTTCATCCTATTTTCCAAGGTCGCCGTCCACGTGGCACACGAGTTTCAACTTGATCTATTTTTTCAAGGCCACGTGGCACGTCACCTGGACCTACTACACCAGGTGACGAGCGACCTTGAACTGGGCCAGTTTCGATACGGAAAAATGGTTTCCAAAAAATAAGTCACGGTCAGACGAAATGTTCTTTTAAGCCATGAAAACTTCTTTAGAGGTCTTCTTATAATACTACCTTCGGATAGTTTAAAAAAGCCCCCTTCCTTTGAAAAAGGTATTGCTAGAAATGCTCTTAGAAGATATGCTTAGGACACTTGGAAGATACTGTTACCACACGCGCAGGCGTTCGACAGACAAATAAAAAAAACCTTAATTCCTGACAGTTATTAAATAATATTTAAATAAGTTTGCGATAATCAGCCGCACTTAACTGACAAAATACACTCCGACAGCTTTAGGAAACTTCCATTGTTCTTGTTAACACTGAACTTGATGACAAAATCTGGCTTGTTGAATGTGAAGACCGAATTGGGTGACGACTTTTAACTTTTAATCAATGACAAACTTCATTAATACAACTTGCTTTACTCAAGTTGATTCGTTAACGGACAAAACACTTTAAAATACGTCTCTTTAACTTTTACTACATCATTATTTTTGCTCAACTTCTGCATTTTATTACAATACTGACGAAATACGTCTTCACATACATAGGCGGACTGCCCGAAAAATTTAACGTAAAGAAAAAAGCCACGTTCTCATACCTTCGCGAAACAAAAACACCGGTTATCTCTAGTATTTAAGGAAACCCCCCCAATAAGGAAGGTTTAAAAAACATGTCGATTGGATTAAGTTACACGATCTTTGTTATTGCTTTGCTGGTAATACATGGGTTATTCAAAAATCATAGAAAGCACTTGATATAACATCTGACTTGTACAGGTGTCGCCATGCAGTGGCTTTGCGACAATTTAGAAATTCTCGAATGCGCCGGCGATTCGGCGGACATTGCGGAAAAGGTCGACGGCGTCGGAGAGGTGTCGTTCGTGCCCGCGTTCTCGGGCCTGTACGCGCCGTACTGGAGAAAGGACGCCCGCAGGTATCTTTCGTGACTTGCGTAAACGATCCTGAGGTCTCCTTTCAGTGTAATCGTCGGTTTAACGGACGAGACTAAGCCTGGACACATTGTAAAGGCGGCGCTCGAAGCGGTCGCGTTCCAGACGAGGGACATTCTGGAAGCGATGGGATTGGACTGCGGCTATCCGCTCTCGAAGCTCCTAGTCGACGGCGGTATGACCGCCAATAACTACCTGATGCAGATTCAGGCCGACTACTGCGGCATTCCCGTTGGTAAATTTTTTCCCGTTTCACTTCGGCGTTAGACTACGATTGGCTTGCAGTGAGGCCGTTGATGACCGAAACGACCGCTTTGGGATCTGCAATAGCCGCCGGATACGCTGAAGGCGTAGGCGTTTGGAATCTGAAGAACATTCAGACTGTTCCCAGCGATGTTTTCCTCCCGTCGATTACCGAAAATCGTAAGTAGCGAAACTCGGAACTTAACAGTATCTGGGACTGTTTTAGAACGGGATGTGAAGTATGCCAGATGGAAAATGGCGATCGCGCGAAGTTTGGATTGGGCCGATGATAAAGAGGGAGAAGTGGAAGAAGGTAAAATACACATTGACACTGCTTGTGGTTAAGGGGTAGTTTCAATTAACTATTTGCTCTGTTTGTTTGTATAATATATGGTGTATGGGAAGTAATTGTTATCTTACACATAGGGCTGCCATCTATTGCAAAGCTTGATGACGAAGAGGGTAAGTTGTCTGTAAATCATATTCTCGCATGGCAGCACTGTTTATTTGATACGCTTCTTTGGCGTACTGCTCATTTCTCTTGCAGAGGCGTAGACTTAGTAACCTCAACTTGTAGCGAAGTAGATCCTTTCAACTTTATTTGCTTCGCACTTTTATTTCAGTGCCTCACTAACGTGATAACTGTCTCACTATACCTTTTTTTGTTTTCAGACGAGAAAAAGGTACCTGTATTACGAGGAGTTTCCGCGGGATTATTCGTACTGACGACCTTTTGTGTTCTAATAGTGGCTCAAATGGTTGCAGGTCGTGGCTAGTCCGTGTACTCATAATTCGTAGTTATGTAATGCCAACAAGGAATTATTCTGTGATTTTTTTTGAGGTAGAGTGGTATATAATCTAATGGATTTCGTACCTATCGGTTTTTCTGTTAATGTGTTCAAATAAAAATGCAATATAAGTACAAAAGGTGGAGATGTGACTGGAACTGAGTCTTTGATTAGTTTGTAAAGAACACAAATACAGAGTGTTTTCCAAATACACCAGTCAAACGGCATCCGGACAATCCCCAATCTGTTTTCTGCAAACCAACCAAATGGATGGCCCGATTTCTAACTAATTTACATGAGCAACAATTTTCTAGTGCCAACCCCATTACAAAATCGCCGTCTTCTACAAGACGGTCTCGAATCGTACAACTCCGAAAATTAACGAAGACAGTAAATCAATAATCATACTACGGGCAAAAATCAGACCCGTGACCAAAATCCCTACTATACTTTAAGGTTGTATCCAACCGTTACAGCACGAGGACATAAAACACCCAGCTGATGCACCTGTACTTTCTTAACGGCGATAACACGTGCTTATCTTGATATGTAATTAGCGTACGCAACAATAACAGTCCCTATCGTAGACCGGAGATAAAGTTTTACAATAATTAAGCAAATGTTTCCAGATGAAAAAACTTAATTTTTACACGTAGGCACTTTAGATTTAGGTACAATTAAATAAACAAAACAAACAAGGTAATTATTTAAACAAAATTAACAACTAACGGTTTTGATGCAAAACAAGATTGACCTTGAAATCAAACAATATGATCGGCATTGCGTTCAAACCGAATCCATGATGACATTTAATGTTCATGAAAATTGAAATTAGACATACAGAGTGACTCGTCATTATTGCCGAATCCAGAGAAGGCGTCTGCATGGCGCAGTTTGCACAACAATACTCTCAAGATGGGCGAAAAAGGCTTCTTAATATTTTAAACGATTGTTAAGATTGTGAAACCTTCAAAGCTCTTAAATGACCTTAAGGGCTAATAACTCATTTTGGGTGAGCTGAAAGGCCCAAAGACTCCAAAGTCTTGAAGAGACTCCAAATTCTTCTAAAAGTCAATTAATAGGCCTTAAATCCACTAGACGACTTATGTGGTGCCTCTAAGAAGTAGTTGGATATCCATGACGGCTATTGAAGATTTTATAGACCCTAAAAATGGCTTTAAAACACCCTAGAGGGCTTTTGAAAGTTCCCAAGGGTTTTTGAAAATCACCCTTAAGTGTCCTTAAAGGCTCCTGAAACCTCTTAAAACACTCTTAGAGGTCCACATGGGCTTAAGTCGAAACTCGTCGCAGTTTTTAGTTTTAATGGCTCTAAAAACTTTTAAAGGTGTCAAAAGATCACTAACAGTTTTTACTCTACCTTTGAAGGGCTTCGGCAAGCTTTTGAAACACTATTAATGGCTTTAGATGACATTTAAAGGTTTAAAATCCATTGAAAACCACTGGAGAGCAAATATTTGGCGGCCCGTGAGAGCAACAAGGTGTTCGCTCAGTTTCATTAAATACCTACCTGCAAGGTTTTTGTGGACCTTTAGTGAGCTTTAGAAAATCTTTTAAAAGCTAGGTACCCCTTCGCTTAGCTCTATAGCGGGCTGGTCCTGTCCTCCTGGTACGTGATTATACAAGACGGGAGCCTTCAGAGTCTCTTGAGGATATTCAAAGGGTTTTAAATGCTTTTAGAAGGTCTTAAATATTTTACGTCTGAATAAAACTCCAGAAGGCACCTCTTTTGTGAGTTCTAAAAACCCTTTATGTCTGCTGAAATGTACTGAAGACTTGAACAGACTTGAGAGACTGCTGTATGCCGTGCAAAACCACCCACAAAACACGTGTCCATCTATCTCAATTAAATAAACCAGAATAGAAATTTCCCAACGCACGCCCGGCCTCCGCTACAAAGAAAAAAAATTCGACTTAATTTTATTAATTTAGGAATCTCGGCAGCCTTGATAATATTCAACAACTCCCAGAAACTAATTACACAAATTTTGCAAAAGCATAACTGGCACGAATATCAAATTTAACATGAGAACTCTAATCCTGGGTCGTAAAATTTAGGGTTCGTTTAAACACAAAATTCTCCATTAACAAATAAAGAACATTTATTCGGGCTATACACAAATTAACAAACCCTGAAAGGAAGAGACGAACTCAGGGCCTGTTTACATATACCACGAATGCAAGCGATCGATAGACAATTAATTAAAAAAATCTTAATGACTTACGGTTTTTATTAATGCAATAATTTGGTCGTTAACTGCTGTTCAAAAAACTTAATTCCCTTTCTATTAAGTAAGTCTTAGTTCAGTCTTGTAGAAAGGCCCAACGACTTGATTGATACACATTCAATCATATTTTTCGGGATGCGCTTTAAACTTCTCACGAAATTGATTAATCCATTCGATTACGTCGTACCTTAAACAACATTTCTTCATTATATAAATTTCACAGCCAGTTGCACAAAAAAAATCCAGGATTATTGTTTAATCCGGTATGAAGACATTTGATTGGCTTTATACTACAGTCAGTATGCAGCCAATCAAATGTCAAAATTCTTGTTTGAACTCAGATTTGGCAAATAAGGATGTAATGATCTTAGCCTCCACTATCTTGGCGGTCTAACGCCAACTTCAAGTCACACCGGAATATTTGACCATGTTCTGTAGTAGCGGGAATGCCAAACCAACATGGCTGCCTATTGGAACATTCTCGCTTAAGTTTCTCGCGAGAATCTGTCACTCGGGGGCCACTCCGAGTGCACTAAGATCGTGATCGTCATGTAGGACACCTACGTTGTGTAATAACTGAGTTCTCAGCAGGCACTGAGGGCGTTTTATGGGTAAGGAACACCAAAAGCAATATCTGATTAAGGTTATATTGAAGCTTATACCAATACGGCGCCCCTACAGAGGGTCGTAAGTGGTCCTATACTACTCCGGCATTTACCTTACGAATTAGGAAAACTGCAGGAAAACCTAATTCGGAGTAGTCCTATAATGAACAAAACCTACAGCTAACATCTAATGTACAGCACTTCTCGAAACGGGGGTAAATACTACATACACGCTATGAGTAACCAAAAGGGAATCGAGCCATTCCCCAGCTATTTCAACACATACATCAGACAAAACTAAGAGATATTAAATATGCCTCGCCGGACGGTAGGATTACCCAGGCCCAATGGGGTGCCTGTTATAGACGTGGACTGAAGTTGTTGGGTTTCGGAACGAGTGAAAATGTTAGTGTTAGGTTCACCATAACACCCGTATAAACTTGAATAACTCGATCCCCTCTAAACAAGCACACTTCCCTCTTGATTACTCACAGCCCAAAATAAGCAAATATAATGAAATGCAATGAAATAATCGAGAGTGACTAAAAAGCACAATACACAAATTAAATATGTAGGTACACATGCAAGTATGTACAGCACAATGAAACATGATTGCCAATACCAACAAAGGTTACACATTAAGAGGTACAAGTGATTGAATCCAGTAAGTACATAAGAAAAGGGTTACAATCTGCATTCAAGTTAAACACATTTATAGATTAATTGAATAAAGCAAATACCTCACCTGATAAAAAAACAAAAGCACACAGTAATGATTAAGGTATAAGTACCAAAATATTTCGAGATAAACCGTACTTTACACTTAAGCCGGTTACAAGCAAAAGACCATGAACACACATGTTAAATCTTATTTATTGACTACCCCAAGCGACTCTGTAACTTGATCTCTTAACACCCCTAAAAACCACCCGAAAATCGCCCATTCCCTGCCTTTCACGCATTTCTAGGAAAAAACTGGACGGCAAGTGTTTGAAATGGTAAACACATGTGATCTTCCGAGAAATTCCATCCGTCTCATCTTCGCCCACTTTCCCTTTTCTGTAACCCCACCAGATTTCGGTTGGCAGCTTGTGTAACTAACATGATGTATAGGGTGCTTCGTATTTATTATTAATTTATTTATTTATTATGCCTCTCTTGTTCTGGGCCCTCAACAGGCTTGCGTCCAATTACAGAGTGACCCGCATAATGCTATTTAGAGGTGCCTCTGCAGAAGGTCTATACTACTCCGGTATTTAACTTACGAATTAGGAAAACTGCAGGAAAACCTAATTCGGAGTAGCCGGTAGAATGCTCGAAACTGGTCTAAGGCAATTTCCATTTCCGCCGCAGATGAAAAATTCACCTTAACCCAGGTTCGAACACCCGACCTCCGGATTTATAGCCCAACGCTCTACCAGTGAGCCATAAAGCCGGTTATATCACAATCATATTCACAGGATGTTGCTAAGGTTGGGGCATCTCAAGGATTTTGATTATAATTCGCTTTCCTGCAACCGGCCGTCAGTATCAAACAGACGAACGCCATCTTAACATCCAACAGGCTGACTGCCCAAACACAAAAAAACATCGTTTAAAATGTGCACTAATACTGTCGAACCACTATCGAAAAAGCCTTTTTTTTGTTATATTATTGTATTTAAAGAATCGCCTTATAGTGTACTTAACCGCCAGGTTCTACGCTAACTTAACATTACAAGAATACGGAAATAAAGTCAACCCGGCAACATTTAAAAATGGCCACCCGAATGACTATTCCCTCCAAAACTAAACGAGATCCCGCTTAAATTTGAAAAGTGGTACTTGATAAGACATCTAAGGCAGGGCCCCCTTTCGTTAGTTGTAAAGAACTCTATGACCTGAAGCACAGTAGGGAAGGAACGTGTATTATACTATGGTAAAATAAAACACTGAAATTGTGAAAAGTGTGTTTAATAATGATCGCAATTATTATTGATTGTAAAAGCTCGGAAATTTAAGTCGAAATAAATTACATTGCAAAAATAAACTTTGAAAATGGTATTTCACCGAATAAAAATAGAAATAGGCTGGCAAAAAAAGAACTTACTCATAAAAAACCAGCCGTAAAATTAATATTAAATGGTGTAGTAAAATTAATTATTTGTAATGATGTGAATGCGTAACATAAAATTATAACATAACAAAAAGTAGCAGGTAAACTTCAAGAGGTAACATATATAGGTTAAAAACAAGTTTTGGGAATTATGGGTCAGGTAAGCAGGTACTAAGATTCTAAGAAAGGGTGAAATACACAGGATGCTCATCTTTGGTGGAATAAAATCCTTTTGTTAAAAGCAAGATGGAAAATTACATGGCCTTGTAGGCAAATTTAACTAAACACAAGATGTATGGAAATTATTGAATCGCCACTCATTTATCGCATATAGATTCTAAACTGAAAAGCTTTGATTAGCGTAATCCCGCCCCTGCCAGATAGGTAACCCGCCCCTGGTCTCGGGGTTACGAGCCTACAGTTGAAAGTCGAAGACAATCACGGAATTAGGTGTCGTGCTTCAAATGGTTACAGTTTTTACCACCCCCGTGATTGCTTAATTCACGGAGAAAATTGTTAGTAACAAACAAGTCAGTACATACACCAACGAATCGGTAATTTCCACATATATTAAAATAAAATGATCAACATATATGAATGTAACTTCAGGGACAAGACCAAGTAATCAACATCAATAAACATAAATTAAGCAAACATTACACCAAAAACGTAAACAATTACAAACAATAGGATAACGGTATTAAACATGTCATTCTGCATTGCGGTTAAACCAAGTAAATTTCAAAAAACAAAGATTGAAACACACAAAAAATATAAAATGCGGCATACAAAACACAAATACGATATAAAGAAATGAAAAAATTACTGCCTGCATCAAAAAACACAAAATAACAACAAACAATTATGGAGCGACGCGTTCACAACCGCCATTCAAGACAAGATGCCAAACGTAACCCACGTTCGTGCTTTCTAAATGGCGCAAATCGCTTTCCCCTCCCAGAAATTGCGTGGTTTCGAACTCTCAAAAATGTATGTATCATCGTAAGTTGTATATACAGGGTGGAACCTTTCAGCCTCTCTTCCACTTTCCACCTAAAACGTCATTCATTAACAATGCATTCAAACTTTTATACTTACTCATTAATCCAATCAACACCTAGTCTAATTGGAATTTTCTGCGCAACAACTGTTGTCGTCATCTACACCCCGGCATCTTTGCAAGACGTGCAAACGACTCTATTTGAAACTCGTTTCTATCCTGGTTTTCGCGTCTTATGGGAATGTAAAACGCTTAGTAATTAATTAACGGCGCTGAAATATCAAAATATTGATTGACTCCCTTCTTTCCCGGAAGGAGAGCTTTCGGATGTGGTTCGGAGGCTGTAAGAATAATTTAAATATTCCTACGCGGTAAAATAATCAATTGCTCAAAATGAAACACAGAAACCTCACTCCTCGAGCAAATATTTTGTATTTTACAAATAGGAAACGTAGGTAAAAAAAAATGTGATTTATGAATAAATTAATTGAAATATGTTAATTTATTTAGCCACAACATCTAGAATCATTACGGTATATGAACTATGAAGAAAAATGGAATCAGTGCATGTTCACATTGTGACTTTGCTGTTTAAAAGGTGGCCTACCATACGGCGCTTTATAGGGAATATATCAGAAGTGCTGACAGTAAAACCACACAAATACACCCTTCTCGAATTGAAAAAAAATTTCACTTTCTGAAAAGGAGGAAACTAAGCGAATTGTAGAAAATCTATTTATATCTGGTGTATTGACAGCATCCCCGTAGATGTCGCCCCAAGGAAGCATCTCACTTTCAAACCGACTTTCTCTTGAAGGCGGTAAAATCAATACGAAACGTTAGCTCTCTCTTTAAATTTGGAAACGTATACGTTGTCTTTGTTAGAATTCGGCTGGCAAAAGGCGGTTTCGCTGATAGAGTTCGTCAGAGAATATTTTTGCGGGTACTCGTGCGGCGGCAATTTTATAATTATAAGTGCCACTTATGTCGGTGGGACGAGTGGGCTTGTCGTCGCTCAACTATTAAACGGCGCGTTCTAGTGGAAAATTGACCGCAATTTGTTTTTTTTTTGGCGTGTAAATACTAGTGATTTGGGCAATGCACGTATTGGACTTAGTGGAAGTGAATTAAATTGGCTTGTCGTAAACCGGCGACGACACGAAAGGTCGAGGATAAGTAGGCAATTATCCGTAAGATTTGTGTGATGAGATGTTTGACGTCGTATGCAAATTTTTTGCGATTTTTTCGTGAACGGTCAGCAACAGTTGTTTTTTTGGTCGTTTTCTTCCTTCGAAATGAGTTATCTTTGACGTTTCCGTCGAGAACAAGGGTCGCAACGTGCAAATTTTCATACGAATATGTTACTACACCGTCACTTGGACAAGCTCCAACGGTAGTCGACAAATTTAGATCCCATTCATTTGTTTCTTATTTTTAACGTAAATATATGCCTAAGGCGAGGTTGTGACTGCGCATAAACGTTATGTCGGTGGTAAATTGGAGTACGCTTTGAAAAACAAACTTTACGTATAATGTTCACGACCAGAAATCTCATCTTCGTTTCCCTAATTTTGATTGTCTCGCAATGTGAGAGTATGCGACCACTTTGGGGCCTTCAAAGCCAACAAATTCGCCCAGATCGTAGCAATACGCAGCCGTATCGTAATAAGCGGGAACCAAAGAATGGCCAAAACAGCTTGGCGAACATCAGGCAGAGGCTGAACGAGGAGAAGTTTCCGAAAAAGGACGATTTAATGGTCCTGGACGCTTCGCCAAGAGTGGAGGTCAATTACACGGGGCTTTTACGCCAACCACCCTCCTCGCATTACGGAGGAATCAACACCGAGCAAAACTACAACCGGGAGAATGACAAGATGAGGCTCCTTTACGCGTTCAGGAAGAGTCAGGAGGAAGTACCTTACAGTTTGCCCGGCACCGAGTGCGACTTTGAGAGGACCTGCACGTGGAAGTGGAAGAACGACAGCGACGGTGGTTTCTCTGTAACAAGTGCGAACCTAACCCACGATGGGCCCGAATTCGACGCCGACAATAAGTCATCAGGTAAGTACGTTCCTATGTGGTAACCTTTGGCCTTACCAAACAGTCATGCTCAGTCCTCCTCACAAGAAAACTTATGTTTTACATAATCTCATTGTATCGATTAGGTCAATCTGTAAGAGTTTAGAACCAAACACACTGTATATAGGTGTAAGCCGAACCGGAACCAAAACAAACGTTTCTGGCAATTAAACCAACGGTCAATAGTGTTTCCTTTGATTCTTATAGATTTTCTTAAGAAAACATATTTTATTTTGTATAAGCGAGATATGATGGCGTGGTGCATTGAGGCGAGCTGCTACTGATTTTAATTTGGGAAGTGACTCGTTGCGGCTCGCATTATTGTACGCTTCCGAATTGTCGGAGAGGAAGTTCAGCGTGCCAAACTGGGTCGACTGTCTGGGAACCAGGCGAAGGGTAAAGGATGTGTGGAGCGGCATGGGCCGAATCTGTACTAGTTGGTTGGGGAAGATTTTGGAATTCGAGGTGTTCTCTGAGGGGAGTAGAAATGATTTTTTCAAAGCATTCCCAATGCAATTAGGTAGTGAAAGTGAAATGGGGCGATAGGAAGATGGGTCAGTAAGGTTGGCGTTGGGTTGCGGGATCATGGCGGTTTGGGAAAGTAAGATGTTGGAGGAATTTATTGTATAGTTGGCATATGAAGGTTAGGGTGTTGGAGGGGCAGGTGGCGAAAAATCAGCTTGTTGAGTCCATCAGGACCCAGGGGACTGATATTACCTTTTTTAAGGGTATTTCCATGTTTGTATTCTCGTTAAGACATGAAATGGTCATAAGGGCTATTAAAATCGAAATAAAAACTTGAAAGTGCACTCTTCCCCTCTTGCTCACAAGCGAATTGGCGAATTTTTTTTGCTTATTCACTCAATGTGCACTTTCCTGACCTGGTCACACTCAGTTGACGTCTTTGAAGAGTGAACCCATCATGGTCCGCTCTTTTTCTATTCGTAAATGGAACCCCCTCGGTATTTTTCGGGTTAACAAAAAGTCCATGGGTACTGCACTACGTATCCACCTGCTCAAGAACCCCCTGCATGAAGCTCATTCACATTGTTTGGAAACTTTCCAGTTATACGCTCCGTCCCCCTTCAGAGAGCGAAGGATCCCGTCTAGTACCGGGCATTACAGCAGTGGAAACAACATCTATGCCAACGCTTTCAGCAGCTTCACTAATTAAATCGAATCCTTAACATTTAAAGACGCTCCCAAGGCCCCCCCTCTCCTCCGGGGCAGTCATTCTCTCTTTCAGTCTGCGCGCGAGGCTGTTAGAGCCGTCTCCGTAGCCTTGTAAGTATGTTGAAATGGATGCAGAGGTCTACACACCAGTACCCCACTCCTTATGTATGTATCCACCCGCTCCTCCACCGTTTTTAGATGACACGATCATAGGCTGATGGGCCTGTAAAAAAATGTAGCCAATGCCCTCGGATAACATTAAAAAGTTATGGCAACAATGACCTCGGATGCCCTTGGAAATGTATTTCGGCTTTGGGACCACAAAACTTCGTGCCATTGATCTGGAATGTTCTTGAATTTGTAATTTAAACGCAACGCAAAAATGGGGTCATTGACCTTGGATGACATTGAAAATGTAATTTAACACCAATGACCTGGTATGCCCTTTGAACTTTACCGCGACCTACTTTCCAAGGTCACCACCCATTGGGCACGCGGATTTCACCTTGACCTAATTTCCAAGGTCACTACCTACGTGGCACGCGACTTTCTCCTTGACTTAATTTCCAAGGTCACCGGTTCGTGACCCTGACAAACTTTCCAAGGTCACCACCCATGTGTCACCTTCATCTAATATCTAAGGGTTATCGCCGGCCTGGCACGCGACTTTCACCTTAACTTAATTTGCAAGGGCGCTACCTACGTGGCAGGGGACTGTCTCCTTGACTTAATTTCCAAGGTCACCGGTTCGTGACCCTGGCATAATTTTTAAGGCGACCTTGAAGGTCCAGATTCGGCCCTGTACACCTACTCCTTCGCCATGTCATATTCAGCATGACTTTGCTTAGGTAGGTACACAACTCTTACCTTTCTCCAGCCTTCGGGGATATATCTGAAAACCAGGAAGGCTCTAAAGAGGTGCAACAAATGTAAGATCAGCGGCTCCGGGTCATTCTGCATAAGAGACGGGAATGTCCCGTTCGGTCCTGCACTCTTAAATGGGCCGTACATGTTGACCACCTTTCTCGGTAACCACCCGGGGAGCTATACTTTCCAGTAGATCGGTCTTACACCGACCCGGGTAGTTTCTTCTGGTAGGTACGTATTTCCTGGAAGATGTGTTCCAGGAGGCATGTGAGAGCCCCACCTGTTGTAGACGTATGGGAGCCTCAGTGTTCTCACTTTTCACCTTAGGTCTTTCAAAGGGATCTTACGAAGTTTTTCAACAAAAAAATAACTCAACTATCTACGCAGGTGGCTCGTGTGACCTCGCTCGGCTACGGCAGGTACCCCTTCACTGTTTTTGTCAGAGTTTTTGTCATTTAATAACTGTAACGAGTAGACGTATTTAACAAACTCTCCTCGCCTTCATTGTAATTACAATGATCCGCGTCATTTAACTCATCCCGAATATGCATACGTAAAGCAGTATAACCAGAGCCGTAACCAAGTGGGGGGGGGGGGCGAATCAGGGCGCCGCCTTGGCAGGAGAATGGCGATGAAATCCTAAACAAGGATAAATTGTGCAATACTCTTGTGCAGATAAAGCGCACTTTTTTTCAAAACATTCATTTTGTCTTTGTCAGTGCCCTCCTTCCACAATCTACTCTTGAGGTATAAGGAATTATAACCGATCACGTCTTTTTCTTGATTAACTGCTATTAACCGTCCGCAGAGGTATTGTATGAATCATCAACGTATGGCGGACCTTTCATTTCTGGCCTGAAAAGCTGAAAAAAAGAAGACCGAATCTCTGGATCCAGAAATATTTCTTCACAAATTTCATAATTCACCAAATCGCAAATTGTCTCTGTTTTAAATTTTTAATGTTACCAATCTTTAAAACCTTGTTCTTCATATAGTTGCATTTTTGTGTTTTATTGTACATAAATAAACATTTTTTATTATACCTGAATCACAATCTCCGTTTTAAACACTCAAATGCGTGCGAAAAAGGGCCTTTAAAACACACGTGCTTTAAAGTTGCTAAGTAACGATACTTCAAGTATGACTTTTGAAACTGTCATCTGGATGAAATAAAAAATCCTCTTAGGTCGCTTTCTGGAAATGCAGAACATATCTTTGGCTTTTGTACCTATGCTTTGGTTGAAGCTTTCACAAACGCGCGTAATTTAGGGTATGCTTCCAAATCTGTTCCACTTTTTAATCGCAGCACTGCTTTAAAGTTTTGAATGAATGCACCAAAATATAGAAGATTTAAATACCTTTGACATTTCCTTCATATATTCCAGCATTATGGATGCATTTAAGACTTTATTCGTAAGTAACTTCCTATTTCATCCATGGAAACAACTTTTCATATTCTTTATAATAGGCTTTACTGGATTTGGATTTTACACCTACCAACGTGTGTTTAGATTTTACAACAATCGATTTAATGGGCGGTGTATTATCTTTTTCAACGGAAATCGTTTAATTCTCAAAGACGATGATTTTTATAAGCAAACGTCAAGTGACATTTCCATGGCAATCGTGAAATTACGAACACCCAGCCCACTTAATTAGACATGTATTCGAGTATAACGTCAATATGATTTCATTGTATTTCCTATTTTTAAATTATACTGCAGGTATAATAAAAAATGCTATAAGATACACGTGTATAATTGGTCTTTAAAGCACTTGCAACGTTAAAGGCACTCCGCTTTGCGTCGTGCCCTTAAACTCGTTGCGCGTGCTTTAAAGACTTGATTATACACTTGTATCTTAATATACTATTATTTAACAAATTTAAACCGTTTAAAAGAACCAAAATTGATGGAAAAGCTACTGCTGCATTGTCTTTTATTGTTGGCTGATAATTTGTTAAAAGCAATGAAATAATCAATGACCTTGAACTTAAATCTTTGGAAAAAAATGGCACCCTTTCCCTCTAGTTAGTGCCCCGTAAACGCGACTATTAATTTATTTACATCTTAATTAAAATTGCACTTCTAACCGCGCTTATTAATAATTCATATTGCTAATTCCCATTTCTACATTTACTTGATAAATAGAAACCCATTTTGGTGAAACGCCCCACCAATACAATTGAACCTTTTGTATCGCCAGGTAAAAACTTGCTTACTCGTTGAAAGTGAATCTCGAAAGATGGTTGACGAGTTTGAATCCAGAACAACCAGTGCAATTTTTGACGAAAATTATAAGTTGTAACAAAAGCACGAATTAATTGTCTTTAATCTTTTTATCGGTTGCCGTTTAATGTGTATTAATAACACCTCCATACACAAGAGCTTTGATTGACGAGCTTGTTTTTAACGGAAGTAGCCACTTCAAGCGCTAAAAAACGTTTTGCACCTTGGACCTTAGTGCTTATTCGTTGTTGCTTTAAGAGGTAACGATTCGCACCCTTCACGGTTGAAAGTATATCCGCCGTCCATTAGTTTTCACTATACGAGGAAGTTCTTTTGCGGGGTAAATACGCCTCTTGTTATTGGTTTTGTTCGAAATGGCAGCTCTCTAAGTTGCTAAAAAACTCACAGTCCCCCCTTCCACTTCCAACCAGTCGCGCAGGTGTGCGCTGTACAGTCACGTGGCGAAAAAATGAGTGAGAGAAATCCCGTATGACCTAACGTCCCTTAAAGGCCATTAAGCCCTTATAAATTAAATCAATTTCGGGTGGAGAACGTCAAAAGGCTTCGTCTCAATTCAATAGCTAATTCTAAAACTAAAGGGGGCGGCATTGTTGCAAGTCTAAGCAGGCCAAACCACGTGAGCATTCAAGAAATGCACTTATTTAACGTTCGATCGTGTGGCCAGCAACGAATAAACTAATCAGGTCTGGCTGG